TTTTGGGATATTTCCTTAACTGAGCCTTGTATCCCAGAAAGCCATTATCCGAAACAATGCCTTCAGTTGGCCCTGTGTTTCGGATATCCATTTTTTAAAAGAACTCTAGTCTTTCAGCTGAAGTCAAGCTTCAGTAAGATTTGTTCTCCAAAGGCGTGAGTCCGTGGACAATTCTGGGATATTGCCTATCCCAGAAAGCCATTATCCGAAGCATTGCCTTCAGTTGGCCCTGTGTTTCGAATACCCATTTTTAGAAAAATAAAGAAATTGTTTATTCAGATGGAGCCATACTTCAATTTCTGGGGGGGCAAGAAGCACTACCAGTGCAAGTTTATGTTCAGCAGAATTGAAGAAATAGTAAAGCATTCAAAAACAAAGCAGCTGAAGAAAAGAACATCAAATTAATAATTTATGCTCATAAATTGAGCTACAAGTTCAAATAAACTGTATCGGCAGCCGCCCACAAGCGGAAAATAACAGCTGTCGAAATACGTACATAAGCAAAAAAATAAACTGTTTTGTACGACAAGGCAAGCTGAAGCAAAAAACAAACAAGGCAAAAAAATTCAGAAAGCGGCAAGTCTAAAGTTGAGCGCATGATGAACCGCAAGATTCTGAAGACGACTGCCCGAGTTCCTATGCTTCAGCCCAAGGATCAGACTGGTCAGCATTGTTGAGCCCCATGGTGGTCTCAGCCCCAGCAGCAGAAGAAGCAGGCTTTGCACTCTGCCGAGCCTCCCTTTCCCTCTATTCAGCCTCCAACTCCATTCTCTCAGCTTCTTCTTCGGCTTTCTCAGCCTTAAGAATTTCAGCTTCGACTGGAGTTGCATACTTCATATGAGGGTCTTCGGGATTCTGGACCCATTCAGCACATTTGGACCAGTCCAGCTTCGGCTCAGCATGAAGGCAGACTCTTCGACACACTCTGAATCCGTTTTTGAAACCCATTTCATATTCTTCATGGGTATAGACGCGGACTTTGAGTAGAGCCTCAGCATCATCCAACTTCTTCTGGGTCTCCTCCAAGTCCTCCTTAGATTTCTTCAGCTCATCGGCGTGCTTGGAGGAGGAACCTTTCAGCTCATTCAGCTCCTGCTGAACTTGGGAAGCCTCTGTCTGAGCCTGGGCCACTTCTTCCTTTTTGGCCGTCAGCTGATCCTCAGCTTCTTGGAGCTTAGCTCTCTGAGCTTCAGCAGCAGCAGCAGCTTCTGAGAGTTGGACATCCCTGGCTTGGAGCATCTCTTCAGCAGCCATTCTGCTGGCTTCAAGAGCTTCTAGCCGTTGCTGCACTTCAGCTTGTGCAGCAGCTCCTTCCTGGATTCGACTCTCAATGGTAGCCTTGAATTTGGAGATGTCCACTCCCATGTGCTCTTGGAGGAATTTTTCCCCTTCCATCAGTGGGGGAAAAACTTCCTTCTCCATAGCGTCGCAGAAGGTTTTGAAGGCTTCAGCAGCTTTTTTCTCGTATTCCTCACCCTTCTGCTGCTTCTCTTCAGCTGCTGCTTGCTTCAGCTTAGCAAGCTTTAACTCCTCTTCGGCTACCTTCTTGTCGTGCTCGGCAGCGTCTACCCTATCTTGTAGGGTATCTATCAGCTCTACAGTGAGAGTCTGATTGTGCACGAATTGAAAACAGGAGCACAAGTTAAAATAAATAAAAATAAAAATAGAGCTGAATTTTAGAGGAAATAAAGGCAAGGAAAATCACCTGCATCATCAGCAGTTGGTTAGACCTGGCTGGGTCAGGAACTGATCTGCTGGATTCGCCCATCCCAGCAGTGGCCTTCAGCGACCAGATTCTTGCCCTATCTACTTCGGACGTGCCAGCAAAATCGCCGAAGTAGGCTGCAGCACCTTCTCGGTTCTGACCCCATATGAGGTCCCAGATGTGATCTGGGATTGGAATTCGGGGGGCCGAGAAACCCATTTCTCCAGATTGCAGAGTCTGGAAGGAAGGAAAGGATGATGACGGAGCCTCTTTAACTTTGGATGGCTTAGCATCCTCCTTCTCAGAAGAGTCAATTATTATAACCTCTTCTTCTTCAGGAGTGAGGACGAAAGCCTCAACCTCTCTTGCAATGTCTACCGTGAAACCCTCAGCACTGGGCATCACGACATCCTTATTCTTGTGCTCAGCAGCACTCTCCTGAACTTCTTCTTGGACCCCTCCCTTAGATTCGGGAGTTTTTTGATCCACCTCCATCTCAGGAGGTGGCGGAGGGGTCTTTTGAGGTGATTGAGGTGGTGGCCGGGGAACCCTCGGCGATCCATTGCCTTCCTCGGGTTCCCTTATTTCAACGCCGATGGTCATCGGCCTCCGCTGAAAGTCATGCGGGCCGATGATGGCCATTCTTCGGCGCCTTTTCTGAAGCGGCTGCTCGTCCATGTCTGAGTCTGAAGACTCTTCTTGTATCTGGTCTTCGGGACGAACATGGGCTTTCCCTTCTTTGTGTCTGTTACTCTCTTCTGACTGTAAAAGACAGGGGGGAGGAAGAAAGTGAGTACAAAAAAAAAAAAAAAAAAAAACAGAAACAGACAAAGTTAAGTCTGAAAGCTCACCGAGGTCTTCAGCAAAGCCTCGTCTTCTTCAGCTGCCCTAGCTGTAGCTTCCTCTTCAGCAGCCCTGGAGGACCCTTCTCCTCCTTCACAAGCTTCAATAACCCGTGCAACCTCTTCGGCCATACGGGAAGCTTCAGCTTCTTCATCCAGCAGCTGAAACCAGGGATCTCTCTTCTTCCACCAAGGCTTCTGCCTCTGATACAGAGCAACAACCTCAATTTGGAAGTGGGAAGAGTCTAGATGAACTTCCCTATGCCTCGGTTCAGTGATAGAGGGGGCCCGATCAGTTACAACTCGTTCTCGGTTGACGCCAAGACGAGCGTAGTTAATGCCGACGTTGGTCTCGTCCCGCTCTGAAAAAGAAAAGGGGAAAGGTCAGTTCAGTTAGGTTGGCACAGCAGAAAAAAGCGAAGTGAGAGGAGAAAAAGAGATAATTAAAAAGCCTCGGCCCCAGCCGAAGAAGCTTACCATCCTTAAACTTTCGGCTGAGGCCGACAGCTGCTAGTATGTTCTCTTGGAAAACATAATGCGTATCGGGGAGCTAAGTCTCCGGGATATGCTGCATTCGGCCGCTGCCCTTCGGTTCGGCAGCTTGCCGAAGATGTTCTGTTGATTAAGGTTCGGATCTGGGCCGTTATCTGCGGGGGGACCTAGACTTCCCATGTCGGGATCAGGCTCAGCAAGGTACCGGGGAGCGCTGAAGACGCAAGGGTGGCCCGGGTCCGTGGGTGCCCTAACCCAAATCCATTGACCTCTCCAGTCCTTGTCTGAAGAGTCGTTCGGCCACATGGTTAGGTTCTGGGGCCGAGACTCAATCCGGTACCACCCGGAACCATGACTTTCGTGCCCACTTTGAATATTTGGCACTAGCCGATGAAGCTTTTTGAAGCAGTGCAGGTTCGGCACATACTTGAAGAACTTGCAGACCCATAAGTATGTCATCACCCTTCGGATGCTAGTAGGAGTTAGCTGACATAGGGAAATATTGTAATGGATCAGCAAGTCTCGGACGAATACGTCCAAAGGGAACCTCAGCCCATACTGAAGTTGTCTTGTGTACACCCCCACATACCCCGGGGGTGGACGATGGATTCTATCGGATGCCACGGGCATTCGGCACCAATACCCATCAGCTTCAAGGATGCCATAATGCAACTCAATTTGTTCGACAAACCGATACTGTTCGGCATTCTCCACCCACCATGAGTAGGGGCGGTTCTTTATCATGGCTGAAGCTACTTCGGCATCCTCCCACTCTGAAAACCCGGGGAGGATATCCCAAAGGACAGCGGGAACTTCATCGTCCCGCCCAGAAGCGCTCGGCCCCTCCGTTCTCTGAGGAGGAGCCGAGGAAATTGGAGTTGCCCTAATCCCTTCAGCAGGGTCAGACTCTGCTCTTTGTCCATTCCAGGTCCTAATCCTGTTCCTAGGATTGGGAATTGGTCTTGCTCTTCTTGGAGCACGGGCTCTACCCCTAACTCCTCTTGCCATTGATAATTTCGAAGAAAAAAGTCGAAAAAAGAGGGAAGGAGTTCGAATTCGAAGAAAAATAAACTAAAATCAAAGGAATTTACCTTAATCTGAAGCGAAAGTTGCCGATTTACGAGTTCGTAGTGGCAAGTCTCAGTTTCTAAGCTTAATGCTCGGGGAATTTGCGAAGTTTTGATGCGGGTTCTTGGGTTCTCTCGAGAATTCTGGGTTTGTGTTGGTGAATAAGTGAGGAGAGATGACGCGCCTCTGATTATATCTCCAGAAATGGGAATACGGGGAGTCCGCGTTTCAATTTCTCTTAAATACCCCACTAAGTAACCGTTAAACACACGACCTTGCGATTAAACTGCCCATTATCCGTCCAACTTCCACAATCATCCGCCTTAACCGTTGTTATCTCATTAATTACGGTTTAAATTCAAATTTTTGGATTAATTAATTCATTCACTTCCCTCCTTTTCTGAATTAAATCAAACCCGACCCGTCATCCTTCCAAATCGGGTCTGGGGGGCAAGTTGTTTGGGTCCAATTTAGTCCAATTGGGCTTAGGCATTAAATGATCCAATTAAAAGTCCAAGGTCAAGGTTCATCTCTCCAATTGTGCTAAAGTCAAAGATCAATCCTCAAGGCAAACCAATTGAGCTAAGGCCCAACTTCTCCATGTATGAAGAGGTATAAAAGCCATCAATATTGCATTTTTACATTCATTCAAGAAAAGCCTCAAGCAACTAATTCTCTTGCATAGTGTTCTCTTTCTACATATTGTACTGACTTTAGCATCGGAGGGGCCTTCCTCGGCAACACCCCCGAGGCTAGTTTACGTGTGTTTACTGTGCAGGAAACCTTCGGCCCAACATTACTTGGATCGAATCTAGTCTTCACCGCTTCATCGGACCTTCGGCCAGGTCACATTGTTTTCACCCGAAACAGTTGTAAAAACTATGTGCGTTCACAATAACGTCGTGAACTCCATCGGCAATGGAGGCTTGACAACAACCAACACCGGTACATTCGCCATCAATCACATCTTCTATGTCCGTCGTGCATATGGACATGCATCCTGTTTGATATATCTTGCCACCTCCAAACCCGTAAAACCATGCATATGTGTCACACCCTATAGCAACTAATACGTTTTTGGTGCTAGATAGGGTAAATGAAACCAAGTTGATGGATTCCCACCTATAATGGTTATAAAACCTACTCTTGTTATAATAATAATAATTGTAAGAAACATTCCATTTTGAGCGTAACTCGCCCTCTAATACTGAAATTTTTAATACCTCCAAGTTGGTACCAAAAATTGGTGTAGGGGAACCAGTACTACTATTGCTGGGATTACAATGGATTTTAAAGCTGGAAAACTTGGAATGTATAGAGTTATTATTGTGCTGGTCGTCATAATAACAACCCTCTTCAATGCCAAAAGGGTATGGAATGCTAATGTTTCCACACTTATCGGAACAGTGCGGACCGATTACCATGCGTGATTGTAAATCATCCCCCATGACCATGATCGGTGTCGAACTCAGAAACACCACCATGATCATAAGAAGCACGGAACTTGAATCACCCATGCCTAAAAGGAGTTCTTGGATAAATGAAGGTAGTTTAGTTTCTATCAAAGTATGAAATCGATAGAATTTATGTAAGCTATACTTTGATCAAGAATTGCATTGAATTTGAAATAAGAGGGCGCTTTAAATGGCAAAATAAAAAATATAAACCTGTTTTGTTGTGTGTTTAGCGTCTACAGGATTCTACAACTTATATATAGATACAGAACTTTTGAAAATTCTTGTCTTAAAAAAAAAAAAATTCTTCAAACTTTTAATACGTAATGTAATTTACACTTTTGCTATTGGCGTAAAAATTACGTTTATCATCAACTTATATAACCAACAAGAGGACGGTTTAGTCCCCTTACAAGTCTAAGTAAGGTTTTATATTGGTCATAGATAAATGCTATCATATACTACGTATATGGAACTCTATTAGTATCTTATTATTGTATAGTTAATGGGCCAAGGCTAACAACCCTAATCTCTCACTATATATATATATATATATATACACACACTTTTGTTAATACAGAAATAAATGGAGAATTGTTAACCATACAATAATAGGTTTAACACATTAAGTTAACTTGAGTTCATTCTTTAACACATACGGAGTACTAAAATTTATTGGTAATAATATGTTTAACTACTTTAATTCATACTATTACTCAACCACTTCTTTCTCTAATGTGAGAATACTGTGTAATTGGAAAAATCCGAACAAAAATCTATACAAATTAGCACAACTTACAATTAAAGATAACTATTTTTATTTTTTCTGATAATGTAAAATTTTCCCAAAAAATAGAAGTATTACGTAGTTGGTAGTCAAATTGTGGCGTAAGACATTACATTTATTTCAGACCAGAAATATTACTTAGGAGAAGTAGCGTAGGACAAGTCAAATACTTGTGAGCAAAGAAATGCCACATGCTAGTTATTCCAAATTAACCAAAATTATCATGAAAAAATAACTGTTTGGATTTTTTTTTCAAAAACTACTTAATAAAACCTAAATTTTATGGGAAAATACCTTAAAAAAAAAAACTACCCAATAAGAGATAAAATATTGTAAGACACTACTTTTATTTGGCAAAATTTCCACCATTAACCTAGTTTTTCGGCGTTGACCCACTTCATAACACCCTCGAAACCATTGCGGGGGTTGGTTTACTAGGCGGTTAAGTTTATTCTGTGTGGTTGGAGATATTGCGAGTTGGTGACGATAGTTTCATGCTTTGGGGTGGTGGTTTTTGGAGTTAGAGGTGGTGGCCAGCTTTTGGGGTTGGAGGATGGTTTCGGCGTGGTGGAGGCTATTTCAAGCAAGTTGTGTTAGTTTTGGGGATGAAAACGGTAGTTTTGAGGGTGTTTTGAGGTGGGTCAATGGTAGAAATCTGACCAAAGTAGTATTTTATAACACATTACCTTTTATAAGGTAGTTTCTTACAACATTTTACCTTTTATTAGGTAGTTTCTTAAAACATTTTTTTTATTAGGTAGTTTTTTACAAAATGTGGATTTTATTAAGTAGTTTCTAACAAAACATTCTAAATTTTTCAATCTTCATAAATCATTCTACTGCACTCTAGTATTATAGCGAATGTGCACTCCAATGTTTATAAAAGGTGTTACAAATTTACAATTGCATACTTCTTCCTTTCCTTTTTAGATGACCCAGTTTGACTTTTGCCCTATTCACAAACAACACTTTGACTAGCTTTTGTGATTTGTAGCTACGATAAAATATAATCATGTGGGATCTTGTTTGAATCGTCTTAATGTATATTTTATTAATATTCACTTTTTATAATTTTACAATGTTGACAATGGGAGATATAAATCGTTAAAATTGTGCGTTGGCAAACGTGATAAAAGAAACGTGTTTTCAAATTAGGAACGGAGGAAGTATATAGCTAGAGTGACTATCACGTCGGGTCGGGTTAGGTTATATGATGGGTTATTTTCAGACAAAGATATTATTGATTTCGGTTTTGGATCAAATCACATCCAATTGTTAATATATAAGCTTATTATATTTTCTTTGTTTCTTTTTAATTGTATTACTTTCTTAAAATGAAAGTTTCAGATGTTGCATCACTTTCTTTTTAGTTAATAAGCTCTCTCTATCCCTCTCATATCACATGGGTTCATTTTTTTTTTCTCTCTATCTCTCTCATCTCCAAAACTTGTCTTAAAATCTGTAATTTGCGAAGTGATCCAATTATTAAAAAAAAGAAAAAGAAAAGAAAAGCGGAGGATCGAAAGTATTTACAATAGATCATTAATGAGAGTGAGGGATAGCTCAAATCTCAAGTGGTTAGAGCTCCCTTTCCGGTTTCAGGTGATCCTGAGATTGATTCTCATCACTCGCCCTTGTGGCTCTCTAAACAATATAAATATATATATATATATATATATATATATATATATATATATATATATAAAATAAAAAAAAATCATTAATTGATCCATGTTGAGAAAAAAAATACAAATGTGAAAGTTCACATGTGGTATTTAGATCAATTATATGCTCTCAATTATATACTCAAAAGTACAATAATGTCTAATATTTTATTGTAAAATTTTACTATAAATTGAGACTTGATGTAGTAGTAAAACTATGACATTTTCACCCATCTTCTTTCACTTCTTCTTTACTCCTCCTTTCACTAATCAAAACCTTTATATCGGTAAATTCTTTTAACACGTTATCAGCACCAATTCCTAGTCAGGTATATTTATACCTACTTCTCAAAATTATAACAAATAAATATTATCTACTTCTAAATGTTTTGAGGAGTATGCTCTATAATTGCCCATATTTTGGGAACCTCTATACCAGAAACTCAAATATTTACTGTATCATGTGTCACAAAAAAAAAAACATCGGTGAAAAATATTCTCTTACTTATGAATTCATTACTATCCTCCCTTGTTTATTCATGTTGGTATCTTGGTTTTTTTTATTCATACATGTTGATATTACATACTCACCTTTTATGTAAAATTTAATTTTAGTTATTATAATTGCTTAGTAGTAACTTTGCATACATATTATTAACTAAATTGACAAAAAGATGCAGACTTTTTATACTTATTATTTTTCTTTCATTTACGTACTTTTTGTGTTTCTTTCAGTTTTTGAACCCATGATATTTTATAGATATTAGGGCTCTCGGACCACTATGACTTGCATTCCTAGTGTGATAACCTTTTACAATTATAAATATTTATATTTGGATCATAATTTTGCCAGTACATTAGACTATTATATGATATTTTTACAGTTGTACAAAATAGTAACGATAAACCTACCTCTATAAAAGGCAGATTTTCTTTCGATTTTCACCACAAATCCCTTATCCCTTCCCATTTTTTTTTATCCAAAAATCACCCAAAATTTTTTACCCCTTCTTCTTCGATATGTTCCCCGATGACGGCAACCAAAACACTCACACCTTCACCTTTGAGGAAGATTTAAGGAAGATAAAACAATATTTTCTTCTAATTATGGCGCTTATAGTTCCGTTAGTAGCAATATTAATTTTTGTCATGATGTACAAGTGAAGTTTGTTTATGTTGTCGTATTAGTAGATTAAAAGCATGTTTTTGTTCTATTGTGTTGTTTTGTTGTTATTAATCATTGTATAATAGTACCATTATTATTATAAATATTGTTACTACTGTTGTTGTTGTCGTTTTGTTGTTTATGCAACTAATATGATTTATCTTTGCCTAATTAAATTATTACTCACAATAATAAACCAAGGGGGAGAAAAGAACTATATTACTTATGATTTATTATTGTTAAATAAATTTAATTATCATGTGTTTCATTAACAAACCATAAATATGGAAGAATTAAATATATGTGCTGTACGTATGATTTATTATTATAAACTAATTATCACGTAATTTGCTGTAGTTAAAATGGGTGATCTTATGAAAAGACAATTCAACATCTTAGATTTATCTGGAAAGAAATTTTTGGAATGGAAAGTGGATGCCATGATGAATTTAAAAGATCAAGGGTTGGAGCACACTGTTAAAGATAATAAAAGTCCCTCTAGTCAAACAACTGATACTACCAATTCTACAATGACGGTTGTAAAACCGGTTACTGAACAAGAAAAGGCAAAAGCCTTAGGGTTACTAAGACATCATTTACATGAAGGCCTTAAAACTGAGTACATGATGGTTGAAGATCTCAAAGAATTATGGGATTGTCTTAATGAAAGATTTGGACACCACAAAAGGGTGCTCCTTCCTAAGGAATTATTTGATTGGACAAATTTACGGTTCCAGGATTTTAAATCTGTAATTGATTACAATTCAACCATACATGAGATAGTATCTATATTGGGATACTGTGATCATCCAGTCATCGATAAACAGATGATTGAAAAAACATTGACTACCTTTCATGCAAGCACCATACTGTTGCAAGAACAATATCGTGAAAGAGATTTCAAAATGTTTGATGAATTAATGAGTGTACTGCTTGTTACGGAACAAAATAGTGATCTTTTGTTGAAAAATCATAATCTTAGACCAACTGGGTCTTTGGCCACTCATCATGAGGCAAATGCAACAAGTTCTTATCCACCCGAGACAAATGCTACACGAAAAGGTGGACGTGGATATTACAATGGCCGTGGAAGAGGCCGTGGAAATTATCGCGGACGAGACCGAGGACGTGGTAGAAATAATTTTCAAAGAAACAGTATTTTCAAAAATTCTGAAAAACAGAAGGGACAGTCATCTGGAAGCCACAAACACACACATTCAAGAGGAAAAAACACATGTTACAAATATGGCATGACAGGACGTTGGGGACGTACTTGTCGTTTGGCCAAACATTTGGTAGACCTTTACCAGACTTCTGTAAAAGGCAAAGAGAAAAATGCAGAAGCAAATTATGTTAATAAAGAAAATGCTCCATGTCCTACCCTTGATGTGTCTGATTTTTTCATGGACAATGCTGAAATTGGAAATGATTTAATCTTTGGAGAAAA